GTGGGGTAGGCCCGTGATGAGGGTAGCAGTGTTTGCTTTGTCAGTCCAACACTTCTAACTGGGAAGCATATAACGCAATGATGGCAGCTGCGGCGCCTATGGGGGCGCCAGGGGTCTTCGCGGCAATGCAGATGAGGAAGGACACAGATGGTAAAATGAGAGCGGCCACGGCTGAGGGTACGCCGGTACCGATGAGTCAGGAGGAATACAATACTCAGGTGAGCGTAGCTGTGGTCGTGGTGGTGGTGATGGTCGTTAATCCCTGTTGGTAGGTAGCTATGTTACGAGATATAGAGGCCAGGCATGCTAAGGAGACCGAGTCGCAGAGGCAGCAGTGGGTTCGTCAACAGGAGGAGGCTCGTAATAGAGCGGAGGAGTTGAAGGAGGAAGAAAGTTCTAGTGATGAGGAACCCGAGGAGGATGCTACGGATAAGCGTAGGATGATGCGCTTCGCTCCGCCTTTTTGGGCAACTGGGCTATGTGGTAAGGTAAAGGATATCCCGCGCATATGAAGTTGGATGATGACGATGCTAGTGACGATGATGACGGCTATGATGGTGAGAGGCCTTGCTGGATGGGTGAGGGGAGAGAGTAGGGCTTGGGCTCAGATGCTCGTCCATCGAATCAAGTGGATACCATGACTGACAGCTGTGAAGGGTTAATGGGCATGCTACACTGGGATGCGGACAGGCCAGGAGATAAGGGAGGAATTGGTACTGATGGTTGGGTCAGTTGCTTATGATGATGATCTTGTTATTGTTTTTTAGTGATCCCCCCACGTGGCCGGATGGGCGACATCACTGCTAGCCGTGCAGGACCTGTAGTGCCAAGGCAGCCCAAGAGGGCGAGTGCTGATGGCGGGTGGAGCACCCCGGCAGGAAACGAGGCCGACGATATTTGGAATACGGCCGACTTCGCCTCGTTGGATACGGCAGCGGCACAAGTCCAGTCCAGCCCGGGGAATCCTTTCGCACAGCAAAGACCTATAACGGCACCTCCTCCT